TTACTTTTCAGCAAATAATAACGAGATTGGATTTTTATTTTTTTTATTAAAAACTAAAATGTATTCGTTATAATTATTAATAATTTTGTCATTGCTTCCATTTGGTATCCAAGGATTGCAAATTTTGCAAAGTTTGCAAATCATGTAGGCTTCAGGGGTATACTTCCAGAATTTTGTATGGAATGCAAATTTGCCATTRGCCAGTCATAATATTATAAGGGCTATAGTATAGAGCTAAGTATTTACAATAGAGGTACTTTCAGATTGAAAAATATATGAAAATTATATATTACAAAATTTTAATAATTGATCGTATTTTATTTAATACAAAAATTAAAAAGAATATATTAAAATACAAAAATATTATTAAAATTTTTTTTATTCAAATATGATCTGGCAAAAAAAGATAGAAGACAGTATTAGACAGTTAATATTAAAGACTAAAGTGCATAAAATGATTAAATTTTTCGATTAATCAACAGTGGAACCTTAAAAATCGAACTTTTATAAGTCACATTTTCGATAAATACAAGACATTTCTTGATCCCTGAATTGCAATATGTAAATTATATTTTTTTTTCTCTATAACTTACTTTTTGACTAGTTATGCTGTACACAGATACAAAAAAAAAGCGTGTAAGTGGATGTCGCTCTGCTGTACATTAGGGAGTGGGGTGGACCTCTGACTAGGGTAGGTTAAATTTGAATGCAATGATTCAAATTTTTTCTATAGCTTTTGGAGCAAAAATTATGGAAAATATAGTGTTGAATTTTTTAACCTTAGATATAAATACAAACAATTTCAAAAAGCAACTTCAAACGCTAATAAAAAAAATTGGGCCAATGTATTCTTATAATTTTTTTAATCACTATAAGAATAAGTTATGAGGAACTTTGTATTAAATTTTCAAGTATTTTTATTGGGCCAAAAAAATTTTATCGACACTTCAAAAATAAATTTTCAGAAAAATTGAAAATTTCAGTTGTTTATAAATTTCTCCAAAAACGTCAAAATGTTTTGAAAATTAAATCATGTAAAGAAAATGCCAATCTGAATTACTGGCAAAATGTTCAAGTATCTACGACTTATACTTTTTGAATAATAACAAATGTTTAAAATCGTTTGACGATAAATCGTTATCGTTACGCTATTTCGATAAAAATTTAAAATTCAAACGCACTTAAAATTTTTCCTATAACGACGCTTCGAGTTTTCTCTATAGCTATTTGAAGGGAAACTTATGAAAAACTTAGTGTTATATTTTTAATCCTTACTTATAAACAGAAAAAAAATTATGATTTTTAAACTTCAAAATTACTTGCAAAATTTCGCATTTTTGACAGATTTCTTAAAAATTTGAACTATAAACGCTTATAAAAAAAATTGTTACTAACGATTTTTAATTTTTTTTTAGGTATAATAAGAACAACTCAACAATAAGGAACCTTGTATTAAATTTCAAGTTTTTTTGGTCATCCAAAATTTATTTACCGATAGGTACTTCAAAAAAAAATTCTGATTAAAATCGAAAATTTCAGTGGTCTATAAATAACTCGAAAAAAGTCAAAATTTCAAGTATTTATAGTGATTAGTTTTTGAATTACAATCATATAAAAAAAACGATTTTGTCGAAAACTAGTTTTACGTAAAAATCCCCGTTTTTCTGTCACTTTTTTTTTTATTTTTCTTGATTTTTTTGAAAACTGTTAGAAAATGGTTACTTCTGACCCCAATGATGTACCAAGGATATTCACTTTTACATCGGTAACCACCCCCAAAGTTTGAAATTTAAGAATTATTTCGAGTAGTTATGMTGTACACAGACACACAAAAAAAAAACATATCATTGTAAAATCAATACATTCATCACTCCGTTCAGAATTTAAAATCTGTGAAATATAAAGTATATTTAATATATGACATGCAATTATCTTATCTGGATTGCAATTACTCGATCGGATACTATGTCGAAATCATGTTCTTATATATATTTGTAATAATAAATTACAAATTCGTGATTTTTCTAMGACAAGACTGTTACTACATTAATTATGAAATCGTTTCGAAAAATGGTGACTCAAAATCAGTGATAGACATTCATTGTTTTAAAATATTTTGCATTGTGTATAATATTGGCGTATACTGTATATACTATATAGGTATACTTTCAACCCACTGGCAATACCCGAAAACACTTTAACGAWTCGGTTCGATATTTGACGTACTGCTAACACAAGTAATTCCAAAGAATTCGCTGATGTTACATTTATACGTACGTTCTATTATTATTATTATGTTTTTGTCAGTTCGCACTTTGTCGTACATGTCTGCGCACAATTTATTATATTCGGTCGGATACTCGAGGTCAAACGAAATCAATGCGGTACAAAATTAGCTACAAGCAACAAGCAGTGAATTATTATAGACAGAGTTTTAAATCRAAATTATATCTTTTGATTTTAATTTAAATGTTGTTCATCAATATTATAATTTTTTCTGACTATAAAGTTAAGAATAAAATAGTATGTACTATTGTACTTATGTGGTAAGTATATATTTACTACATTATAGTAAGTACTGATTTATTGAAAAACTTTACGCGTGTATATATCTACCAAAAACTGTGAAATTCTACGTAGACACTAATTTTTTGAAATTAATTTAATCGAAACTYACCTACTTAATGTATTGCTAATCATCATCATTATAGAGTATTTTAAATGTTATATATTTATAATATACATGTTGTTGTCGTCAAGTTGTTTTTRCGTCATTCGAGAAAAGTAAGTTATCGTAGCCTTGGTGGATATTTACCATAATTTGTATTATATAGACATAATATACGATCAGATTAAGAAATAACTTGTATATGAATATGGCAACTACCAATTATTTATCAATAATTTAACGAAAGAAAGTCATCACTAATGAATAGTTTGTGATTATTTTTCCTAATATTATAAAATTGTGAAGGTAAATAATGACAACTATAAGTAAAAATATAACTTATTTAAAAAAAATAATTTTTTTATATTGAAATATTTCACGCATTTGAAATGTTTCAAAATTTTAAATTTCATGACATTTTCAAACCCTACAACTTACTAATTACACCACACTTGTGTAATTACAATAAACAGATGAATAACATAAATTTAACAGTTGACGCTTTCTCTAAACTTTAACGGCAGCTCCTAATTTCAAACTATTCGCATTTTCTCACCACGCATGTATGTAGCTATAACCTATACTATAGAATGAAACACAGTGTCGAGGACGGTAAATGGTAATAAATAAAAGTTATAAGATTACAATTTTAAACAAAAATACTTCAAAGCATTTTTTTTCATTTTACTCTTACTGGTGTATAATAATTGCTCGAAGGTTGAAATTAATTTTTCAACAAAGGATTCTAACTGCGTCACCAAGACAAGTTTTCCACTCTTGTTATTTATTACCAACGTTAAAATAATATTTTAAAGCACATAAATATATTATTTAATTAATTTGGTAAGCTTACCAAGTCCAATTCCCAGTATAGTTCTTCCGATTATAATGGCTCCTAAAGAATTGGCGTACGCAATAACCAGCCAACTAATAATTAGTGATAAATAACCAAATTGAAGAGCTTTTCTTCGACCAATCGTATCTGTAAGTATTCCAACTAAAAGTAAACCGACCGGACATACCAGTAATGGCATACTCGCTGAAAAAATTAAATATCTATAGATTATTATACGCAGTATACTCAATAATTAATTATACATTTTCCAAAAGAACTATTTTGTTTGATTTGAAACTCATTCAAAATAAATTAAATATTAAATAAATTCCGATAAAGCAATAGAACCTAAAAACACTTAATTTTAATTTATATCGTACAGTATTAAGATACATAAAGTATATTATTATTATAGCATTATGTACTTAGGTATTTAAAATATCCGAAGTTAATTAATTTACCTATCAAAGACTAATTTAAAAAGAAATGCATTCGATGTCTTTTTAAACATTTTTAGTAAAAACAATAAACATAATATGAACATTTAAAATTATTTTGCTTTCACGTCGAAAGTAATAATTTTAAAAACAATAATAACTGAATATTTCGTGTTAGTTGTTTGTAAACTGCAGTTCACAGGCTCGTTATTTTAAATTTACTAATCATGCACATTTTTTACTTACAGACATAAAACACTTAGATGTAATAATATAGTAATATGGATCGGTTCATTATTCAAGACTTTATGATGGAGAATAATAACACATTCAATATTAGTAATTTAATGGTTTTCACACTTGTATTTCACACTTGTATGTACATTACAGTTATCAAGATAAATGTATTTTATTTGCTTTTATTGATCTCGAGAAAATAACGCTGGCGATGAGGGACAATGGTTATGATTTGTTTTTGTGACAGTGTTGCTGATTAAATATTTACAATATTAAAAATTGCTTTGGTCATGACTCGTGGGGATATAAATTATAGGTATTTTGTATAATTTTTTGTCTTTTGAAAAAAATTATATTACCAAAACACTAAAATAAAAATAAAAAATGTAGGTAAACAAAATTATAACGTTCAATTAATTCTTGAGAAGGCAGAACTTTATAACGTAAAAAAAAAAATAAATTATATTCCATACTAAAATAGTAAAATGCGGGTAAGTGGGTAACTAACGCTTTGATGGAGATACATTAGATATCTAGAGAGTCACTGTGAAGATGTCGTTAAATTTTAATTCAATGATACAAAATAATTGTATAAGAAAAATGATTATGGAAGAAGACTATGATTAAAATAATTTATTTTACTATAGGTAATATACTATAGACATTAGTACTTTAGTTAGTAAAATTAATTTTTTTCGAAAAAATGTAATTTTAAAATGTAATTGTGTATATATAAAGTATAGTAATATAGCTACTCTACAAGTTTCAAGTAGTCACAAATAATATTTTTTAATTATATAAAAGTAACTACTAAAATCATCATTCTTGGTTTCTATATGTAATTTCGTCCAAATTTGAACTTAAAATGTCCATACAAAATAACTGTCTTTATATATATTTTTTATTTTTTTAGTTACATTATAAAATATTTATGTGAATCATTTTCAATTCTAAGCTATGAAAGTAGAAGTTTTTATAAATTTTTAATTATTAAAAAATTTGTTAATTATCAGTTTGATAAATATTTCCAACATTTGAACTTTAAATGCCTATAAATAAAACCGCGTCTATGTATTTTTATTTTTTTAATATTTTCTAACTGTCGTTAAGAACCTCTTATTAAATTATCAAACGATTAAAATGTATTGATATTTTTAGAAAAAGAAATTGAATACTGTGAAGTACTAAACTTAAACAGCTTTAAGCGAATCAAAATACTAAGAAAATCGTTCCACGAGAAATCGAGTGAATATCCAATGTTGTAAAAACTTGATCGCTCTACTCAGAATCTAAAAGTAGTGCAACCTCTTAAGTATACTTTCTTATTTTAAACTATAAAATGCATTTTTGTACAAATATATTTTTAATTATATTATTTATACCAATATATAATTAACTTATGTTTATTGTTAATATTTTCATCACTAAAATAAAACGTTGATATTGCAGTTGATAAAGATACTAAGTTGCATAAAAGATTTTTATGATATTATCAAGTAGGGCTACACTTATTATTTTGAATTAATTGATTTATTTCTTACAAATAGGCATTATTGAATAATTATGTATTAATTTTTATTTAATTACAGTTGAGAAAGTAGTATAATTATGTATCTTCCATCGTGGTTAATCGATAATTGTTGTGACTCGTAAACGCTAATTTTTTTTTGTATCGTTATTATGTGKTGAACTTAAATCTATGTTACTCATGATGCTTTTATCTTGTTAGTATATACAATTAAATTTTTATTATTGCAATTAAAAACGTTATTCTTCATGATTTTTTTTTATGCACAAATAACACAAAATAAAATCCTATATAAAACACATTTTTGTTGACATCAAGTCATAACCCTTAGAATTTAATCAACCTTAATTTAACCTAAAAATTTATCCTTAGAATGATTAACGATTACAATATGATTAGAYTTGAAATTTCTAATTAGATTTTAATTTACTGTTCTAATATTAAATGTAAACGAAAATCTCAATAAACATTTTATTTAATAAAATATATTATGTGAACAGTAAACATTTAACTAACATATTATTTTAAAACACAATATTATGAATTAATAATTGAAGCAAAACCACTCAAACTGGAATCAAGAGGCAGTAAATGTTTGAAAAAATATAACGTGGGTAATATAGCAAGAAATTAATGTAGAAATTAATTGTTTCAGTAAGTGAAGTAGGAATGATTTTCAGTACTACGCTAAGTCTACAATGAATAATTATTTAATATGTTTAATGAATATTTGAAATTTTTTTAGCTTTAAGCGATGGAGATCGAATATAAATTGTAACGATTTATATATTATTTCAAATAGGTAATTATTCTAGTATAGGCCACAACACCACAAATAGTATATAATATCCATTTCAAGTTATAAATAAAAGTTTTTGATTGTATTTGCATTAATGTTAAATGATTCATGTTCTCGTTCAATTATCATATATTATAAAATTATGGTGGACAGACAGAATAAATTTGACAGTATTATCCTTAAAATTATCTCCGGAAAGTTTTTAGATAGCTTGGAACATGCAAAATTCTATTACTCTAAGGTCACGAGTTTCGAACAAACGCGTTAGACATATAATTTCATCAATATATTATCGTGTCTATTCTTCGATGTCGTAACTCGTAAGCCGTAACTTGTAATTATTTAATTTTATTAAAACACTAAACCACCTTTAGACCTTTGGTGTAACGCGAGTTTCAATTAAAAGAAAAACCAATACGTAAACATTTTCAAGAATTTAAATAATTTTGCATTTTGTAAACGGMAAATGTAAAACACTTTAACCAGATTTTAGATTTTGAGCGGAGCGATGAATGTATTGATTTTACCATGATGTGTGTGTGTTTTTTTTTGTGTCTGTATCACGTTTTGGGGCAGTAAAAGTGCTTCGATTTTTGACTTCAGTCCCTCGTTCGATCAGAAAGTGAACCTAGTTGGTACTTTGGGAGGTCAAAAGTGAAAAATTCTTAATACTTTTTACAGTTATTTGAAGAAAAAGTTATGGAGAACTTTTACTCAGAATAAACCCGAATTATAAGGCTTAGCGCAAAACAACTTTGTTAACTGTTAGATTTGCCAATCATATTAAAATCGTTTATTATAGTCATTACGAAAAAAATAATAATATAGTGAGTACCGCTTAATTTGATCACATTGGTTCAGGTCATATTAATCGTAATAACCAGTTAAAATTCATAAAGCTTTTTTTTTTCAATATAATATTCAGTTTTGGATTTTCAATTTTGATTCCAATAAACGGTTGATTTGATAAACCAGTGATCACATTAAGCAAAACTTACTGTAAAACAGTCTGAAATTAAAATAATTCTTTTATGCGGAAATGTGAGTGTAATTGTTTTATCACTATGAAATAACTGCAAATCGTCTACAGGATTGAAAATTATTATTTTAAAATGTATTTGA